ACACATTAACTCATTCACTCCTACCATGACTCTGTGAGGACTATTGTCACCCCCACTGAGGCACAGAGAGGGAAGGTGACTTGCCTGAGGTCACAAAGCCAGCAAGCAATGTACCTACAACAGAGTTGATGCTTAGTAAATCTTGTCACATGGAGAGAGGGATGGATCCTAACTTCTGGAAGTAGGTGCTGGATAGACAAGGCAGGACCTTGTCCTCAGCATATTACAAACATCCTTGATGCTTGGTTTGTGACCTGCCTGCTCACCTCACCCCTGACAAGGCTTGCATTAATTTGCCATGGCTGTTGTAATAAAAACCACAAACTCAGTGGTTTAAAACAACACAAACTTACTACCTTACAATTGTGGAGGCCACAAGTCTGAAATAGATCTCATGGGGCTAACATTAAGGTATGGTCAGGGCTGCTCTCTTTCTGGAGGTATTAGAGGGAAATCTACTCACCGCCTTTTCCAGATTCTAGAGGCCCCTTCCTCCAACTGAAAGGTTGAGTGCTTCTCACGTCACATCACTCTGACCTTCTCTTCCACATTTAAGGACATACCTGGTGAATTCAGGATACTCTTCCACTTAGAGTCGGCTAATCAGCAACCTTAATTCCATCTAGAACCTTAATTCCCTTTGGCCATGTAAAGTCACACACATGCATGTACCAGGTCCAGGGATCAGGACGTGGACATCTTTGGGAGGCCATTATTCTGCCTACTGCAGACCGCCTCCTTTTCTTGCTCCATTTTTTTGAGAGGAAGACAAGTCTCTCTTCCGCAGGACACTTCAAGCAGGAGCCAGGCCCTGATGGCATCTGAATAAGAAGGTAAGAGCCAGATGTGATCACATCAACCAATGTGGGGACTTGGGTTCCTCCTTCCACCAAAACGAAGAGAGAGACTCAGACTGATGCTGATGAGGACGGTGGTGCTATGACGGCTGCTGACATGTTGGGTGCACCTGCAGACAGCCTTCTCCAACGTCCCCTTGTGGGATCACTGTGCTCTGTAGCCCTGAGGCGACCGCAACTCTTTGGAGCGCATAGAACAGAAAGCTTCCTGAGCAAGCTCTGTCAGAGAAGGAGGATTTGTCTGGAGGAAGCACAGACTTTAGGGACTGAAAGTGAAAGGACAGCGCTCCATGGCACATCTAGCTGGGACCTGGAGAGCCAGGACCAGAGACAGCGCCTGTCTCCACCTCCACAAGGCCCCTCTCCTCCTCTCTCCGGGTCTGTGGGAAGTTCTTCTTCCGCCTCGCAGTTTCCTCTGCTCCTGCCCCTCACACACAGCCCAGGGCAGCCACCAGCCCCACCTCAGGTGACCTAACAGGCCCAGCACTCACCACCCACTGTCAAAGGTTTTTGGTACAAATTTTCTGTAGAAAGAAGGAGCAGATTTGGTTGTTTCCCTCCAGCCTATGGGAGGAGCCCTCCTGGGTCAGGTGTCCTTCCTTTGATTGGCCAAAGGATGTCTTGGCCCTCACTGATTGGCTGGGACCAGGAGGCTCAGGGGTTATATAAACATGGTCTTTGGCGGGCAGAAAGGCCCTCAACCGTGCAGGGATGTCTGCGCAACCTGTAAACGTGTCACATTACATGGCAAAAGGCTCTTTGCAGTTGTAATTATGTTTAAGGATCTAAAAACGAGTCCAAGTGATCCTGGACTATCCAGTAGGCTCAGTGTAATCACAGGGATTCTTAATCCATGAAAAAGAGACCAGAAGCGGAGATGCCAGGGGTGAAGCAGGGGTGGGACTGGACATAATCCCTGGTATTGAAAATGGAGGAAGGGGCCGAGCCAGGGAACGCAGGCGAACTCTAGAAGCAGGAAAAGGCGGGAAACAGTCCTACCCTAGAGCCTCCAGGAAAAACGCAGTCTCGCCAACACCTTGACGCTATCCCCGTGAGACCCCTCAGACTTCAGGCTTCCAGAACTGTAGGATCATATATGTGTGTGTTATTCGTCCCAGAAGCCGTAGGAAACTCATACGTGGTCCCTGTGGCCCATTCCTTTATCAGAGAAATGTGCAGAATCAGCCTTGGGCCATTTCCACATACACCTAGTGTCCCTGATGTGGTGTATGGGATGTGGTGAAGAGAAGGGAGGTAGGTTACTCTCCCTGGTTAGTTGAGGCCAAGTGTATATACGAGGGAGGGCCACTGGGGACAAGAAGACAGCATGGAGCTAAAAACATCTGGGACTTTACCAAGCCCCGAGAAGGACTCGGTGATGCCCTGGGGAAGGGGCTGGACACCAGGCTGAGTGAAAGGTCCTACCAACTGGGCAAAGTGACAATGCTGACAGAGGATCGAGTTGCAGAAGGAGCACTGGACTGCAAGCCTGGCCCTGCTGGACAAACTGGCCGTGAGGCTCAGGCAACATGCTCCCTCCTCTGGGTCTCAGTTCCCCTAGAAGCAAAATGAGGGGCTTGTACTAGAGCAGTAGATCAACTTCTCTTTTAAAACCGTTTTCTAAACAGCAGAACCCTGTCTTCATTAAATCTTTCTTATGTTACTTGGCAGAAAGTTATTAATACAATAATCATAGTAATAAGCATTTAAATGGGCCTGACTTTGTGCCAGGCACTCATCCAACTGCCTTATTGCTGTAAATCAGTTTGTTCGATACTCACAAAAAAACCAATAGATGAGTGCTATCATCTTCATGTCACAGATGAGGAATTTGAGGCAAAGAGAGGTTAAGAAACTTGGTCACGGTCACCCAGCAGGGAAGTGGTAAATTTTTATGTAAACCCATGCATTCCTGATCCAGAGAGAATGGAGAAGCGGATGGATAGGATAGGGGAGATTTATCCAGACAGGATAACTCAAGATAAATACTAAAGAGCCAGGGGAGATGGGGGCAGGGGATTGGGAGCAGCATGAGCTGGGAAGATAATTTTGGAGACTGGTCTATGAAAACTGTTGAAGCCATGGGGTTGGAAAGAAGTGAGAGTCAGTGGGAGGGAGCAGAGCTTCTCTTTCACGAACAGGTGCTCTGGAGTCTCTCTCTCTTTCCCTTTTTTGAGACGGTTTTCACTTTGTCACCCTTGGTAGAGTGAGCATCCTGGCTCATAGCAAACTCAAACTCTTGGGCTCAGGTGAGGCTCTTGCCTCAGCCTCCCAAGTAGCTGGGACTACAGGCACTTGCCACAATGCTTGGCTATTTTTGGAGATGAGCTCTCGCTCTTGCTCAGGCTGGTCTCAAACCTGTGAGCTCAGGCAATCTACCCACCTTGGCCTCCCAGAGTGCTAAGATTATAGGCATGAGCCACCACCCCTGGCCCTCTGCAGTTTCTTTGAATGGACTCTGTGTACAGACTGGGCCATGTTGGGCCATGGCATTTATTGGGGCTACACTTACAGTCTCACTGTGGAAAACAGATCAGAGCTGCCATGGTTGAGGCAGAGACAGCTGCCTTAGGGGCTCACTCTTCCGTCCTCCCCTGTGGCACCACCCTACACTAGACCCCTCAATCATTTCTAGCAATTTCAAGTTTCAAGCAATACCATATGAAAACCACTACACAAAATGACCTCCATTCAGCCAGTTCCCTGCGTCTGCCTGCATTTGTCCCATTGCCAAGGCCACTGAGGCCAGCAGCTCCAGGCACCCCTCTTCCAGGTAGCTATGGAAGACATGAGCTCTCATCTCCATCACCCCATCTGATCCTCGCATCAGAACTCAAGTCTCTGTTACATGAGAATTCCAACCTCACTCGGATTGTAACCAGCAAGGTGACCTTGAACAAGCCTCTTCTCAGACCTCCAGGGCCTTGATAATGATGAGGAGTTAGGAAGATAGCTCACCTTCAGAAGCCAAGAGCCTGGGCTTCAAAACCTCTTAAGGAAATTAAGACGAGCCTATGTATAGTGAGCACCTACATTAGAAGATGGTTTTTCAATTTTAGCCATCACTCATTTGAGTGTCCTCATTTGACCAGTAACAAAACCGAGGTCCAGAGAGGGGAAGGGACTGACCAAGGTCACACAGCATGGCAGTGCCGAGCTGAAGCTGACACCCAGGCCCTAGACCACTGTGTCTTCCTCTCACCCTGACCATGCAACCAGACCCACAACAGGAACTTGCTCTGAGGGTTCAAATTAGACCCGCCCTGGGTCCCCCTCTCATTCCTATATATTTTATAAATAAGAGAATTGGCACTAACTCACCTGCCCAAAGTCATTCAGCCTATCTCATGGGTCAGGGATCCAGGTGTGTGTGAATCTCAAGTTTACACGCACCTCCTCCTATGCCTATTCGGCAATGAAGCCTCCTAAATTCCCACCTGGGACTCAGACCCTGGGCTTCTGTCTGAACCTGTCCCAGGCCTAGGCTAGTGAAAAGCAGCAAGAAGTTCCTTCCGCTGCCTCAACCTGGGAACCTCACCAACAGCAGCACAACCCCGGGAGCCTCCAGGGTGCCTGGGGACAAGCAGCTGTGGATGCCCCCGGCCCCTAGTTGCCCTCTGCCCCTCCCGAGTTGTGCTCCTCCCTGGCCGGGGAGGGAGGGCAGCTCCCTTTCTTCTCCGTGGCTGGCAGAGCAGCGGCTGCTGCTGCTGCTCCCACCTGCTGCTGGCTGATGGAGAGATTATTTCTAAGCCCTCCCCATTCCGCCCCTCCCTTCTCTTGCAGGACCACACTGGCTGTCCCCGTGGGACTTGAGGTGCAGAGTCTACTGCTGAAGCAGGACAGCCAACTCGGCTCCCTCCTGGCAAGAATCCCCAGACCATCACCTCTCACAAGGAAAGGGGCTCCTGGGTCCTTTAAAGAAACCCACCCCACTCCCTCAGGGCTCTCCTGCAGCTGCTGGAGAGAGTGGTGCAGAATGAATGAACTCCTGGTTCCTGGAGGAGGCACAGAAAGAAAGGCTGGAAACTAACTCTGCCAGAAACTGCTGTGCTTGGGGTTTTTTCCTTCTCCTTCATCTCTACCACAAACCTGTCTCTTGCCTGGGCGCTGAGACATGGGCTTCCCTTTCCCTACAGAGAAACAGCTGGAAACAGGCTCCCTGAGATAAGAGGGTGAGTTAAACTTCAGGGGTAGAAGTTGGTGTCTGGCGCAGGAGCAGGGGCTTACAGGAATGGGAAGTGGCTGTTAAACATGCTTAGCAAAATTGCTGTTTTGACTAAATTCTTTTCTTATGTTTGGGAAAGAGCTTTGTTTTGCCAGCTCTTCAGAGAGTAGTAGATTGCAAAATTGGGTCTCTTCAGTGAATGTACAAAGGGCAGTTTGGGGGGTTCTGGAAAGAGGCCCAGGCTGGAAGGCAGAGTCTGAGGTTGGATTTGGACTTGCTGTGTGACCTTGGACAAGTCACTTCAGCTCTCTGATCTTAGTTTTTGCACTTAGCAAATGAAAAAGCTTGGGAAGGGCTTCCTGGATTTCAAAATCCTCTTCTCTCTGCAGGCTGCTCCTCCTCCACTGGCCATACACTGGGAGCAAGCCGAGTAATGCTTGCCGGGTTATAGGATGCGTGTAGGGAGCGAGTGGGAAACAGGCTGTGATTCACTCTTCACTACCTGCTGGACTCCAACTGGCTCTGAAATTGAGAGGAACTTTTCTTTCCATTCAGCTGCCAAGTTTTTCTCTTGATTGGAGTGTGTCTTAAAAATGTAAGGTTATGGGAGCTTTGGAAACAGCTTTGGCTAGAGTGAGTCACAGAAGGAATGGCTGCAGAGTCTGAGGATGAGAAATATCGTGGGAGTGATTTTCTTCAATATATGAATGAGCTTAATCTCAAATGCTTTTCCTAAGCACAGAGAGGGGGAGCGACTGGCTCAAGGTCACACAGCAAAAATGGCTAGGCAAGCCGTGAACACAGGGAGGACTGTCACTGAAAGTATAAGAGAGTCCTCCCTGTCCTAGCAAAGTCCTCCCAATGAAGAAACAAACAAGAAGGGTTAAGCGAGAGGTGTGGAACTCCTGTCCCTGTCCCTGAGAGTTAGATGCTGTGCTAAGCACAGCCACCTGCCTGGTCTCCTCAAATCTTAAATAACTGGCCCCTGCCAAGCTTTCTTGCATGTCAGGGGCTTGCTAAACAATGGGAAAGATACTTAACCTTTCTGTGCCTCAGTTTCCTCATCTGTAAGGTGGAGATACTCATGTCTGCCTCATGAAGTTGATGAGATGAGTTAATTAGGGGAAGCCTGGTACATCAGAAGTGTCTAGACTGTTCTCCACACACACTCTATGTATATTACAGAATATAACCCTCACCGTACTATATGATGTGGGCACTCAAACTGCCCCAATCATACAGACAAAGCAAAGGGCTCAGAGAGACTGAGTAACCCACCCATGGGGACATCCATAAGGAATTGGAAACTGGCAGTGAACTTGAGAGCCTACAGTCTTTAATTTATATATTCATAGGGTACAAGCGCGGTTTTGCTATCTCCATCTACTCCATCGGGGTGAAGTCAGGCAGAGCCTACGCTCTTAACCGTTATTTTTACCACCTGCATCTTGCAAAGTTGGTGTGAGTCTTGTCATTTGAATAAATGATGCTGAGATCAGAGAAGTTCAGCCGCATACTCAAGGCCTGAGTGCCTCGGGACCACACTACTCAACTTCCGATCCATGTCGGGCTCATTCCACAGAGTTTTCTCTGAAGTCGCCGTATGGGCTCCTCAAGGAAAGGGTTTGGTTCACTGATGTATCCTAAGCACATAGTAGGTCCCCAATTAATACATGTTGAATGAAAGGGCTACAAGAATGAATGATGCAGTGGCAAGAAAGCCGATGTAAGAGTTTTTCCATTGGTGAGATCTAGGACTCTGCCCTAGGCCTGACTTCCCCCTATTCTCTCGCCCTTCTGCTTCTGGGTGTCAGACAGGTGAATCTATTGCTTGCCGGCAGGGGCGTGTTCGGCGATGCCCACGCCTTCCAGAGAGAGGGGCCTGCGTCCCGGACACCATCACTATGATTCCTACACACCTCTGAGTCAGCTCCTGCCTGGCCCCGTGGAGACGCCAACCATCAAGGGCCTTTACTACCGCAGGGTCCGGAAAGTGGGTGCCCTGGACGCCTCCCCAGCGGCGGACCTGAGGAAGGAGATCCTGGTGAACGTCGGGGGCAGGAGGTATCGCCTTCCCTGGAGCACGCTGGACGAGTTCCCGCTGAGCCGCCTGAGCAAGCTCAGGCTCTGCCGCAGCTCCGAGGAGATCACGCAGCTCTGCGATGATTACGATGAGGACAACCAGGAGTTCTTCTTCGACAGGAGCCCCAGTGCCTTTGGCGTGATCGTGAGCTTCCTGGCGGCTGGGAAGCTGGTGCTCCTGCAGGAGATGTGTGCGCTGTCCTTCCGGGAGGAGCTGACCTACTGGGGCATCGAGGAAACCAACCTGGAGAAGTGCTGCCTGCGGAGGCTGCTGGGGAGGCTGGAGGAGCTGGCGGAGCTGCGCAGGGCCGAGGCGCTGCAGCCGCCTGGGGAGGCCTGCAGCCCCGCCGCCCAGGCCTCGCGCTGGGGCCTGTGCATGCACCGGCTGCGTGAGATGGTGGAAAACCCGCAGTCCGGGCTGCCTGGGAAGGTCTTTGCTTGCCTCTCCATCCTCTTCGTGGCCACCACGGCCATCAGCCTGTGCGTCAGCACCATGCCGGACCTCCGGGCCGAGGAGGACAAGGTGAGTGGCTCCCATTGGGTCCACTGCTCCATGGGCCATGCTGCCCAGCCCGGGCTGTCTTCTTAGGGGCCCATAAAAATGTCTTCATTTCTTAAAATTAGACGGAAAAAATGAATATTATCCAGTATGGATTATATTTGTTTTTAGACCAACACACTAATAAAAGATAATCTTTTATATTTGTTTTAGAGGCCCACCAAGGAAAACGTGGCCTGATAGTGAATCCTGGTTATTGACAAAGCCATGTCTGAGCCCAGAAGGCCACAAAGACCCAGCCTCATCTCTCCCAGTTCTATTACTGTAGGCAAATTATGTCACCTCTCTGAGCCTCTCTTTCCTCCTCCATAAAATGGGCACCATTGCTACAAAAATTGACACATTCAGTGTCCCCAAAGAGTGTTTGACCAGCCATGTTGTGCCAAGCACAAGGCCAGGCAAAAATTCCCTGCCTTCTGGAGCGAACATTCTCTTGGGCTTCCCAGATGCATTTTCAGGGGGAGAAACTGAGGCACAGGACGTTAGTCTCCTCGGAGTTATAGAGTAAAGATGCTGATCACGGCAAAGCCTCTCAGGCCTCAGTTTTGCTGTGGAGCTCAATCTCTCCGCCAGTCTCCCTGGATGGAAACTCAGAGACGAGTTGACTTGAAAGTGAGCCTGCCCCAGGTGGCCAGGCCAAGGGTTGCATTTGTCCACTCTGCATTTTTCCTTCCAGGGAGTTGTAGGAGACCCCAAGGCCACCCCCAACCTGGCAGCAGATGGTCTGAGAGGTGAAAGAGAAACAGCCCTTTGTGGAGAGGGTTGTGGGAGAGCTGCAAACGGAAAGCTGGACCGTTTCCTAGTTTAAAATGCTGCTGCCTCTGCAGTCTGTTCCTCCAGGGCTCCCCATGTCAAAGCACAGAGCTTCCCTCACAATAGGGGAGCACTGATAGGCAAAATGTGTGTGTAAAATAGCCCCCCCAATATGGCTCCTGGCAGCTGTCAGTTCATTTCAGGTCCCATGTCTTAAAGACATATCCTGGGGCAAGACAGTAGGATGAGAGAACTTTCCAGATAGAAAGGATTTAGATGGAGAACTAGCCCACGCTTCACACACAGTAGGCTCTCAATAAATATTTGTTGAGTAAGATGTGTCTTATCCAATCTACAAATGGTTTGTCCTTAAAAATACATATTTTGGACTTTAAAAGAGCATGTTTTCCCATAGACAAAACTATAGGTATTTTCTCATTCGTTTTAGCACAAAAGCATGTGCTGTAAGAACCTCTCTATTCACAGAAATATGTACCCGTGGACTCTCCAGTGAAAAGATTAAGCCAAAATGAGTGACCTCCTTACCCTACTCCTTAAGGCGTCCTTGGTCCCACTTGCTAAAGAAAGACCCCTGGTGTTCACAGCCTGTTCCTCTTAGAAATGGCTAGAGAGGGAGGGAGCTATGCAGGGGCTGGCAGGTATTTTATACTGTGCAAAAGGCCAAGATCTTTTCAAAACCTAATGCTTTGAAAATTACAAAGGGTATAAACCCAGGCCTGGCTTAATAGTGACCCAGGAAATCAAATTAGAGTGGGAGACTGGACTGCAGAACCCGGAGGCCCAAAGAGTGACTGCAGAATCAGGCAACTGTGTCCTCCCAGGATAAGAGGGATTTATGGCCGCACTCAGCTGCAAGGTCTGTACGCTTTCTCCCTAATGAAACTGCCCCTTTGTGTGCCCAGAGACAGACGGAGAGGTGCAGCCCCGAGCATGTCCATTTTCCTGTTTGGGTAATAATTCAGAGAGCCAGGGAGGCTGAGGACGACGGGACAGTCTTGACCATGGCCTTGCATTTACATAAAAAGATGATGTGCCCTCCCTGTATTCCAAATTTGCCCTCAGGGGACATCAGTCTGAGAGCAGGCCTATTCATCAAGCTGCTAACTAACCCTGGCCAGCTCCTTCTGGGGACAGGCTGTGCCCATGGAGTGTGGGGGGCCATGTCCTCCTAAGTGGCATTCACGCAGATGAATTAATGCCACAGGGGGGTGGGGTGGGGAATATAAGTCACAGAAGTCTATCAGAAATAGAATTTGGAGGGTTAGAATACACTCAAAGAAAGCAGTTTTCTGTTTTCTTTTTCTAACTTCTCACAGCAATGTCCTTGGAGTAAATATGACAGTGGGTAAAAGGTCTGTGCCTGAGTTTGCAAATTAAAATGAAGGAGAGTGGAGGCAGTGTAGACAGGGAAGGCCAAGCCGAATGCCTATGGCTTCTAAGCCGAATGCCTATGGCTTCTCTAAGATGCATCAAAACTTTAAAAGTTTGGAATTCCTTGGGGGATTCATCCTCTCTGTGAGGCTGGCCTTTGACACCATGGGCTGACTTAATCCTCACAGCACATTGGGAAGTGACTACTACTATGACCCCATTTTTCAGATGAGGAAACTGAGGCTGAGGAAAGTTTTACCAGGTTTACCAGTTTTACCTCAGCTCACAGTGAGCGAGTGGCAAAGCCAGGATTTGAGCTCACTTCTGATTGGCTGTAAAACCTGACCTCCGTGACCACAGGACACCAACACATCTTTCAGTTCTGGTCCACTCTGCCTCTGGTCTAGACCCTTGGCCTCTGTGGCACTTGGTGTTTCTGGGGCAGCAGGGCTTTGTGTAGCACTTCTCCATCCCACTGACCTTGAGAAAGTCACTCGCTTGCCTGAGCCTCAATTTTCTTATCTGTGAGATGGGGGTACTGTTAGCAGTGTCCTCAGGGGCTCAGGGAGAGGATGAGAAGATTGATTCAGAAAGCAGCTGGAACCACACGGGCACACAGAGGGACTCAGCAACCGCGAGTCGTGGCTGCTCATTCACTCATTAGTTGCAAGTTACCAGGAAGCCAGATGTCTACACTCCCTCTCATGCCAGAAGCCATCGCCTGCCTCCTAAGTAGCTGCAGGTGCTGGGGATAAGACAACCCTCACTTACATTCTCAGACTTTATATTCTGAGTGTCTGCTCCATTTTTCAACCTGAGTTGACATTCATATAACGTAAGATGGGCCACCTTAAAGTGCACAATTCAGGGGCGTTTAGCGCAACCTCACAATGTTCTGTCGTGTGCACCCCCCTATCTAGCCCCATAATGTTTCCTCATCACTCTCAAATAAGACCCTGGACCCATTAAGTGGTCTTTCCCCATTCCCTTCCCTCAGCCCCTGGCTACCACCCTTCTGTTTTCTGACTCTGAACTTATCAATTCCAGACATGTTATGTAAAGGGAATTATATGATCCGTAGCCTTCTGTGCCCGCTCCTTTCCCCCAGCACAATAGCTTCAAGGTCAGCAGAGGTCAGAGCCTCTTTCCTCTTTATGGCTGAGTAATATTCCACCCTGTGTGGTGATGCTCATTTACCATGGAGAGCCTGCTTCATTTGCATAGTTGAAGGCAAGTAGGCTTACTACAAGAACTCCTGCTTCTGGAGGACAGGATGGGCTTGAGGCCTGAGGCCAGGATTCTGTCCCTCAGCTCCCACCCCTTCAATAGGCAGGATTCCGAATCTAGTCCTACCTCCCCTGGGCAAGTCGCTTCACCCACCAGACTCCAGTCAGTCTCCTGATTGTAAAGTGAAGAGCTGGACTCCTGGTCCCTGGCATCCTCCTGCTCTGGACACCTGTGCCCTCTGTCCTGATCTCTTTGCTGCAGCTTCCCCAGGTCTTTTTTTTCCTCTGCCTGCACGTCCTTCCTGCCATTCATCCCTCCTGCCCTTTCCACACAGCCCTGGTGCCTTTCCCTCCCTCCAGGGGAGGCTGAGTGCCACTGGGTGGTGGCGGGTGAACCTCTACTTATTTGCTGCTCTTGAGACATCTCAACCTCTTGCAGACAGTCAGCCCTGGGTTGAATCCCAACGCTACTACTACCTGGCTCTGCCCTTCGATGTGTCCCTCATGTCCTAGTGTGTGCCATTTCCCCATCTATAAAGAAGGCTGAGGATAACACCTGCCATGGACAGCAGTGAGGACAGAGGGCAGCCTGCTTACCGGGCGCGGGCACTCGCTGTTCCTGCCGCCCCTCAGGCCTCAGCTCACTTCCCTTCCCCTGCTCAGCTGCTTTGCTCACCAGCCTCTGTCCTCAGCTCCATCCAACCTGACCAGCAGCAGCCAAGGCAATGGCACTGACCCTCCTTCTGCCCTCACTCAGACACCCGGCACATCTTTTCTGAAGACCTGCTCTGTATTGGAGACCCTACTCCGAGCTAGAAGCACAAGCGCAAACCACTCTCTTAACCAGCCCTGACAGCCCCCACCTGGTCCCCTCCCCCCCACTGCCTTAAATTCTACCCCTGCCCCAAAGTGCTGCTTGAGGCTTTGGGAGACATCGCCAAAGGGCGGTGGACAGCCTGCTGCAGCCCTGTTAACCGCAGAGTGCTGTGGGGCCAGGGTGGGACCTTTGGCTCCACTTTCCCTCACAGCCTGTACCGTGGCAGTTCTGCATCCCGCTGAGGTGTATGTAGACCGGCAGAGGGAAGGCTCAGAGAGGGATTTTTAAAAGACTAGGCAGGACTCAGGGGCCCCTCCCGGGAACAGTGTCCTCCTTGCACTGCCCTGCGATGCAGCTCCCTTCCAGCTGCAATTCCCACCTCCCTGCTCTTTGACAGGAAGCCTTCTGCTGGAACCAGCTTCTTCCTCCTCTGGCCCTTTCCTGGATCACGAATCAGCCTCAGAAAGGGCCGCCCCATTCTCTGTAGCCTCTCTGTGCGCAGTGACATTTGGCAATGGCTCCAGTCAATTCCTCCTAGCCTTCCGATGTTGATGTCTTTTAAGATTCCCCCTCCCAGCCCCCACCAGCCAAGTCTCCCTATGTCCCAGCCAAGAAGAAACCTTCTTTCCTGGGCTGGCCTCACCTTTCCTGGTGCTGTTCTCACTGTTCGCTCTGCCTTGTTACATCCCCCATCTCCTCAGTCTGACTCCCGCCCCCTCCAAGGCACAGCGCAAAGGCCCCTCCCAGACTCATGCACAAGCCCACCCCTCAGGCAG